ATTGCAGGTTTGTGCACTGTGCTCAGCTACTCAAAATCTTTTAATGATTTTTAAGGTGTTCAGAGATCAAAAGGTTTGAAAATGCTGCTTTAGAGCACTGATTTTCTGCTTTGCTGGACAGCTAGACCATTGCGGAGTTTAAAAATAGTCTTGGTTGCACTGGAGGTTTTGTTGGGATTTGGGGTGCAGTACAGGCATCGGAATTTATAACCCCCCAGGTGATGCTACCCTGCATTCATGGCCGAGGACCTCGGGTTAGGGCCATCCTAGTGATTGGCAGACCCTGGACCTTGACTGCACCTTCCTTTGGTCTGGAAAGGACTGTGTTCCTTTCCCCACTTTGTTTCCAGTGGCAGAAGTAGAAGCGGTCGCATAAGGCCCAGGTGTTAGATGCCCAGGCTTCCTGCTGGGGTATGAGGTAGGGCTCCCCAGAGAGAAGAGGCAAAGCAAAGAGCCAGCGGTCACTTTTGCTTTCTGCTTTCCAAGGGTTGAGGGTGAACTCTGTGGACTTCCGAGCCCTGATACCCCTGTGCTTTGCTTTTAGGCCTGGCTTCGGCCCGGGGCTGCTGCCATCCCCGGAGCTGGGGCCCCCTGACGTCCCGCAACCGCAGGCAGCTGCAGAAGCCCCCCTGGCTGCCCGCGGGGTCTACGCAGAAGACAGGCCTTCCGTGGCCCGGCCTCGGCCCGTCGGGGGCACTGCAGGTATGTGCTGGGCTACCCACCCTGAGGCTGCACAGAGGCCCAAGCTGCTGCCCTCTGGTCCTAGGGGGAAGGGAGCAGGGCAAGGCTGTGGCCGACGGAGCGTGGGGCCACCTGTCCCTGACCCCACTCATGTGGGGAGCTGGCCCCCTTCACAGGGAAGGGCTCTGCACAGGCCCAGAGCATCTGCGATGCTGCTGCTAGGGTGGAGATTATAAATCAGACGGTAAATATATTTTATTTCTTAAAAATTCTAGCATAGGGCTGGTGAGATGGCTCAGTGGTCTAAGGCACCTACTTGGAACAAGCTTGG